CCCCCCCAGTTGAAGTGTCAGCGTTGAACGCAGACTGTCGCCCCAAAATGCGTAGACTACTCATGTATGTCAAGGACAGACTAAAACCATGTAGGCAATCTGATGTTTTCTACGACATCCCCTGTGTTGATGGCTCTTGCAAGTATACAGAACAACTACTGTTGGGCAAAAGCTGGAGGCTAAGTTGCGCTAAGTTGGACCGAGTCCAGCACGGGACCACGCCCTTGGTTTTAATGCTACATGAATTCTCGGAAACGCCAAGTTCACGAGAACACGCGATACGGTCGTGATACTATAAACATCTGTGCCTGACCGCATCCATGTTATCGAGCCTGGTTCACGACTGGAAATCGCCGACAAAACTATTCTCCAGTACTCGAATCGAACTTAGTGGTTGATTCCCCATGTCTAACTGCCCGCCTTACTGCTTTCCATACCTGTTTTGACATCAGACAACTGACCGGCTTGGACTGTAGTCTAATGCTGGAGGCGGGGGGAGAGAGAGGCCGATGGCTCGGCGCGTTTTCCTCGCTATAAACAGTCTGACGAACTCTTAGCTATCGTGGTGCGTTAAAAGCGGTGGCTTGGAAGGTTGCCAACTGACGGGAAACTGCGCGGTCAGCCCACTGTGTGTGGCGTTTAGTGGCTGACTGGCGGACTGAGAGTTAGGGCGCGAGGCCTCCTTCTTAATATGGCCTTTGCGACAATCCCACGCAACTGGGATCGTAGCCAGGTGGGGCATTACGCATTGGGAGCGGCTTCAGCTGCGCCAACCATCTGCGTCCTATCCCGCTTCCTGTCTTCTTGACTCTATCTTGACACCGGGGGCAGGTGTGGACGAGGGAAGAGCGAGTGCAGTGGATGCGGTGCAAGTCTACTATCATTTAAAACTGATTCACACCGTCCCTGAACCACCCTATTGTGGAGTGTAGGGTGGATAGCGTCGAAATCGACGGTCGAACAAGTCACCTGTTTTGACACTGGGCCTGGGGAACCAACCGGATAATTAGCAACAAATGCGTTTAGCGTCCTTTGATTGTATGTTTTTCTAATTGGCTAGCATAAATAGGCGAGTTGCGAGCTGCACACACTTTTGTCTTCAATCTGTTTTGCTCTGGCTTAAAATCTTCAGGAGATTACAATGGCAGATTTGTCAACAACCCACACAACCCTTGACTTCTGACTTTTTTAGGTCCGAACTTTAAGCGCTGCACCGAACGCAAAAACAGCGAACTGGACTTTGTGCCAACGAACCTGCATGTAAACCGAATAGGACTTCTGGATTCCGAAAATAATCTGGGTGAGTTTACTGTTCTGTAATTCAATCTTTTTCTGCGTTTATGCCTTCAATTCATCTTCCACGGCAACTGTTTCGACCGAGATGCCGTCCTGATTTAGTTTATTGGAAAATCCTGAACGATGCCTGTCCAGCCACATGCCATTGCCATAATTTTCCGTGACAGTGGGTCAGAGTATTCCAAATGACTGACAATTTAACTTTAAAAAAAGTCCAGACATGTATAGACGGGTTAGTTTGATTACGGGCAGTTGCAAAATACCGTTTTAACACCCTACACAATAAACAAGTGCTGTTGTTGTTAGAATTATGCAGAAAAATTACAGATATCCTTGTGATCTTTTTTCCTTCGACAAAAGACCTGTACGACTTCTCACTTTGCGAACTCTGGGCTTTGTTAGTTTTCATTTCTTACAACGCAGCATTGATCTGAGGGGTGTTGAAGCTGCAACTCGTTATACTGAACTATATCGCATTTTAAAAAGGTACCAGCAAGCACGCCTTGGCTGGCCTTTGAAGAAGAACAGTCCATTTGGCAAACGTGTTCTCCGCAATTAATTATCGGGCCTATACAGTTGCGCTGATAATGAAAGTAGGAGAGTTGAACAGGGTTTATAAATGTCTTATAATTAAAACTAATCATTGGACTCGGGGGGGGGAATAGGGTAGGCTGTGAGTAGCTTCATGGGTCGAATACGCGGAGTGAAAATCATTGTCATGTGCACTGAGTAAACAACCGTCACTAGGAGGGGGGGGGGAGGGGGCGACATGCAATTGCCACCTGGTGTCGGCCACGGAAAAGAGAGCGCCTGTATTAGCTTCTTCTGTCAGCACAGCACTGGATTTACTACCTGCATAGCCACTGTCTCGGCTGTTGCTAGCACACACGTACTCGACCCATAACCAATACTCGCACCCTAACCTATTTTTCCCCCTCACTGAGTCCAATGACCTCTACATTACCAATCTCACCATGCAGGCGGTATGAAAACGATGAGTTTTGAGCATAAGACGTTTATAAACCCAGTCCAACTCACCTATTTTCATTATCAGTGCAATTGTACAAGCCCGAGGATAGATTGCCGAAGAAAGTGTGTTTGCCAAATAGAGTTTTCAAGTTAAACTTTGGAATATTTGCACAACTTAGAAGAAAAGGTGAGATACAGGGAGAGGGCATCGCCGCCCAGATTCGTGACGTTGGACAAAATATAAAATGAGAACTAAGCCAACAAAAATGGGGTAACTGAGACAGCAACTGTTTAAGGACTATTTTGACCTTGTTTAGCCAACCGACTGTATACAAACACGTGTGACCCGATCATATGCACTCATGCTGTGTAGCAGCCCAACACTGGGATTTAGGCGATGGGTCAATGATCACATTGATGGCTCATGTATGAAAAAGAAAGAAGAACCTGCTGTTCAGAGAGGATCATATTTGCCATCCACAAATTTTCCTGACCCTATGGTCCAAGGATGAACGAAAGACGCATATGTGTGGGTTGTAGTCGATTTGGGCAGTTATTGTGAGTACTGATTCCTTTTGGGCCGTGCCATAATGTACTATACATGATTTACATTTGAAGCATAATTTTT